TGGAGTGAGCGCTTTTTATTTGGGATTCTTCAATTGGCAAATATGAAGAAAGTTAAATGCGTGACTTAACCACGTAACTATAGTAGGGAAATTTAACGATCCCACCTCTAATGAAGCCACAAAGTTCTTACCGAAATGTTGACTTTAAATTAATTAATAAATAAATGATATATAATAAAAGATTTAGTCCAATTACTAACGGGGAAGAATATAAAACATGAAAACTGGTTCAACTGCAGTAGTAGGTTGCAGATTTTCTCGGATAAACCAGAAACTATTACGGATGCTCTTCTAAATTTTTCTCCCTAGATCGTGTAATCATCGATCAAAATTGCTGATCAAAAATTGCAAAAATTTACAAAAAGTCTAAGAAAATAAATGAAATGAAATGACTGAAACAAAGAAATATCAATGTTATTCACTCCGCCTTGCTCCACTTTTATATGAGTGTTGCATCTTGTGATGGCGATTATTAAATAGTGAGAAAGGTGGGAGGAGGAGAAGGAAGAGGGGAAGGGGAGGAGGAGAGATTCAGTTCGAGAATGCTAATGGATAAATTAGGAAAAAGCCGAAGACTGAATAAGCAAACCTTCAACGGAGCCTTATAAATGGACAAGTGAGGAGAGGAAGTGCAAGAATCGAGGTGCATGCGCCATTGCTGTAGCTAATGCAAGCAATCAGCCTAACCCGTTATTGCTGTAAACTATTTGAGAACAAAGAAGGGAAATGATGAAAGAGATAAATACCGTCAAAGAAATAGGCAATAAACAACACAGCAAACTACAAAAGAGGTAAATGAAGAAGCGACGAAGTTAGTTATATTAGATAAAAGTAAAGAAAGAATTTATTGTCAACAGTGAGAGTCGTGAAACGTTTGATAAAGAAGAATGTTAGCTGATGAAATCGACTATTATTACGCGAAAAATGGTTAAGTGGAGAAGCCGAGTGGTTGCTGACGCAAACAATCGTTTTGAAGGGAAGGGGTTCGACTCGATCCGCCACAGGATTAAACCTGAACCTGAACCTGTTGTCCTGTTGTCACTAAAATTTCAGATGCTACTGATCAACTACCCACCTATCATTCTAATATGGTCGCCAAGTGACTCTATGGCAAAAATTTTGTAACCATACTAACGGCCAATGCAATCAACCAGGCATCCTAAACATCTAAATGGTAACCTCTTCGTCAAAAATAAATGCATGCATTTAGCTATCTGTGCTCTTTAAAACTGGCTGATTAGTCAAAATTAAATGGAAATGAGACTGCGATGACCTAAATTATATCCAAAATCATCGAGAATCAAATGTCGAGAAGGATAGATAAACGAAAGGGACGAATATCTGCAATCTTTCTATTCCAAATTATTCGTGGGTTAAAAATTTTATCTTTTAATTCCACACTGATAAATCGATTTGTTCATATCTATCTTACCAAATTTTATAATAATGACAACAATTCATCGAAAGGACAATTAAGTAAGGACAGCGCGGCCGAATGGACTGCTTCGAATAGTTCAAGCTTTCATAGGTTCCATCCCTGCCCGAAATTATTATTATACTAAAATAAATATTATTTAAATCGAAATTCAAGGGACCGGTTCGTATAATTCTAAGTGATCGACCTACAAAGCGACTTTACTTTTGCAGCAAAGAAATCCATCCAAAACAATGCAGGATGGTGAATGCAGGATGCAAATAAATATGGTAAATGCCAATAAATAAATCATTATTTTAAAAAATGCCGAGACTTTTTAAAGTGATAACAAAAATACAACCACGTGCCATTTCTTTTTTTCTATTTTATGAATTTTTTTGATAAAAGGCAAAATCGAAGTTTTTCGAAGAATTTACAATAAATAAAAAAAAAAATGAATTTTTTAACAAAACTTATTAAAAATTTCTTACTCCAATGGAATTGCGTATTTCGCCATTTTCCATAATAAACGTCATTATTATTAAAATAAAATAGATATATGTGTGGAAATATAAATTTATAAATATATATTTTTATCTTAATTTTTAAATGCCTCTCCTTTTTTAAAAAATCTCCCTCTTCACCCCTCGATACTTCTCAGATTCTTCATATTCGCAGGGAGCCGGAAACGGAGTGGATCATGGTTTAAATTATCGTATTGAAAGGCAATGGTCTGGATCCTTGACAGGAGCAAAATATTTAAAAAATCCGGATGCAGACGACCACGTTCTATCGCCAAGTGGCTCCTTGGCGAAAATTCTCACATTAACAACGAACGAAGCTAACCTAATTAAAAATGGTGAGAGCAAACCACTTGCTTCTTTTAAAGAAGTCGTGAAGAGAAGTGGGGAATTGTTTATGAGAAATCATTTCTAAACCATTTGATCAAATATTTCATATGAATTTAGATAGAATTCCCAATAAACACCAATTCTCCGCTTAAAACATTTTAAATGGAGTTTTGCTTATCCATTTAAGTAAAACCAAAAGAAAGAAAATTTAATGCAAATTTCATTCAAAACAATTTTTCTTAAAAATAGAAAAGCTTCAAAGTAGGGACACGGGAAGAGAACTGAAATTTTGTGTTGGATTTAAAAATTTATGATTTCCAAGTTTGGAGTGATGTCGAGGCCGCAGGCAGAATTCCCATCGTATACGAGAGTAAAGCTGTCACTAAAAGGTGAAATAAGCGGTGGGCCAGCTTATCTCCACTGAAACCCTACCGAAACGATTAGAAAAAAAGTAGGAATCTAATGAAAACCAAAAATGTAACTGTTGCTTATATCAATATACATATTCAATTTCATAAGCTAAATTCCAGCGAATAATTCCAAAGAAGATATGCAAAAGGCTCGGCACATCTCACTTCTGCAAAGAAAACAAAAATTGCTTTTGTTGTTCTATCAAGAAATTTTTCGCGTCAATCATCACAGTTGCCATCGTTTTCTATTCTTATCAGTTTATCAGTTTGTTCCAATGTTTTTCTCTTCAGTAAAATATACAAAAAATTTGTAATAATTTTGTAACTTCACAAATTTTTTTCCAGCAGCAAATCGTAAAGCCAATTAAACTAGGAAATCATAAAATAAATTAATACATGCAAACCTTCTTTTCTTAGAATTAAGATTTGCTTGGATTTTCCTAAAATAAATGAATTTAAGATCAACAATTATAAGATTTATAAATGAATTTTAAAATTTTTCAAAATTTGACATATTTTCGCAAATTCACAGAGTTTGGAAAGGGGAAGAGAGGAAGGGAGTGGGGGTGGGGGGGGGGGGGGGGGGGGGGGTGGGGGCGGAGGTTTATTAACTTTTAAAGAGCAGCCATATTTGTGTAATGTTGAGCAAGAATTCGGAATGCAAAATAGATCGATTGAGGCGATAAACAAAACAAGTTCGTCAAGTACTGGAAACTCATCGATCACTTTTTGAAACCTGTGTGACACATTTATTATAAATTCGATAAATTCAATCCATTCCAAAAACTAGTATTCCTTAAATATTTGTTTCCTTTATCATTTTAGATCCTAATATTTCCATAAAATCTTCTTAAAAAATAATTGAAATCTCAAATCGTGGTAACCCAGATTAAGCTCATCATAAGACCAACAAATTTTGTGCCCATTTTGTGTACTTTTAACTGAAAAACTCCGTTTTTGCTAAAATATTTTCTTAAACGCAGGAATAATAGCCCAGTGATAGACTAATGGAATTCTGAACATTTCAAAGGGCGCAGCAACTGCTATGCTTCCACGCTAAATAATTTATAAAGTTTTATGAAAATCTATGACCTATATTTAAGAAATAATTCTAAGTATCACATAAAAGTTCCAACTGAAAATCTAATGAACAATAGGGAATAATGCCATCAAAGCCATTAAAAAGTTTTAAGAGCCACCGAGGAGATCTAAACCACTCATTTAGCCACTTAATCCAATGAGAAAACCTTTAACCATTTAAAAGTACCAGTGAGTTCCACATCGTTAACCGCCGAAATCAGCAGGCTATTCGCGGTATATTATCAACCACTAATTCTTTTTAATAAATGCCCATGGCACTATTTTTTGAACATAGATTACTCTATTTATATGCAAATTTTAAATGATAAAGCTAAACAATGTCTGATTTTACAATCTGCCAAACCAAATCAAATTGGATTCTTAATAATGGTCGATAATAATACCATTATCGATGATAAAAAATTCCATGCTTTCTTCGAAGAGTTCGAATTCTTCACCCGCAAAATTGTGGTCGAAAAATTCCCTTCATTTAAAGGGAAACAATCAGTCAGCCAAATTACAATCAGAAAAAAACTTTCAGATGGGTGGAAACTTTAGCAGTGGATGACGTTAAGACTTGCATATTCCTATCCACAAAATTAGCAACAAAATAATTACATGCCAATGATTTTTATAAAAGCAAACAGGTTATGGAAGGTTATGGAAGGTTTTCTGAGCAATCTTAGTTTCTTTTTTCCCATACTATGAATGTAAACACTTTTTGCATGGTTAATGAACTGCATTAAACGAACATGAAAAAACTGATGAGAAGTTACAAAAATCTATGTGCGCATTTACAACACCGCATACAAGAGACTTTCATCACCAGATTTTGAAAATTGCAACACTTTAAATAAAACTTCAAAATTTGAAATGCTGGAAAGTTAATTCCTTGCTCGATCAAAAAAGTAATAAATAAAGTCGCTTTGAGTTATGGGTTTTTTACGATAATAATATTCTTCATTTATTATCGTTCATCGATTGAAAGTTTTGTACTACAGAATAAATAATTAAAATTAAAAACTAAAATAAAAATTAAAAATTAAAATTTCTGTTCGTTTTCTCAGCTATATTGTCTTTAATTCTCTTTGCAGTGGATCAATTCATTAATCCCAAATAATATAATAAATAATACTATCCATCTTAACTGTAAAATATTCTGATTTTAATTAATTTCATGTAAATTTTTATTAAATTGCCAAAAAATTTTAGGAACAAAAACTTTAAAAACAAATAATTATATATTTAAGCACGTGGTCGTTCCTTCTTCCCTTTAAACAAGGCTATCAACGACGTATTGGCTACTTTTACAATTTTGAATCGGACTCCAGGAATATCTCCAACTGCGTGACCCTTACGACCAAAACCTGCGACGAGAACTTCGTCATTCTCCTACAAAACCAAAATATAATAAATGAAAAAAACTTCCAATACATAAAAAAAATAAATTATCAAATTCAGCAAAAATTTTAAATTAAAACTGCTTGAATTATTGGCTATTTTGAACTCGAATATATGAGGTTGTATGAGGTTGTTTTAGCAAATATATGTAAAAAAGAAAGGAAACCTCAATAAAATTCAGGCAACCATCATTTGGAACGAAAGCAGTTATCTTTTTACCATTTTTTATCAACTGAACTCGAACACATTTACGAATTGCGGAATTAGGTTGCTTAGCCTCAACGCCTCTAAAAAATATCACAGAATTATTATCAATTAGAAATTAATAAAGAAATATTAGAATCAAGAAAAATATAACATTTGGCTAAATTACTTAAATAACAAAACAATATATAAAAAATGTACAAACATAAAAACCTGAAAAAATTTAAAACTCACACTTTCTCAAGAACAATTCCTTTTGCATGGGATGCGGCCCCGAACGGATTGGCCTTCCATCTCGTACCAAGGTGCGCCTTTTTATATCTTTTATCATTCCACCGCTGTGCTTGACGGTGCATCTTCAGCTTACGTGCTGTACGAATACCCTTCGGTTTTCCCATTTTGTATAATTATTCTACAAAATTACTCGAATGAATTTAAAAATGAATTTAAAAGCCAAAAAATAAAAATCGATAACTCCATTCGCGAAAACTAATAATTCAAAATTTTTTAAAAATAACGCAAAAAGAATGATTAGTGAGGCAGAAATAAAAGCAAAAATAAATAAATCCGCTTTTAGCCAAAAAGAATTACCTTTATAATCACCAGTCCCTTTTCTTTTCATTCATAAAAAAGAGCAAAATACTAGCGGAAAGAAGAGCAAGTTTTAACTACAAAAAAACCATTATTTGGTTGTAATTCGGTTGTATGCTTTGCTAAACCGACGTGCGCTACGTCATTTCATTCTCTAATCGCGTCACACTACTTCTTGGCTGGAAGACTGGACTTGGCTACATGGCCTAATAAATATTTAGACCCCATGACTTCACAAACTTCAGCGCACAACTAAGACAAAACCAAAAATAAACAGCAAATTCACCTCGACGACCATTTTTACTGATTTAGGTCGCGGCCACTTTCACTATCAGCCTCTGTATTTTAGAATTCAACAGCTTCAGGTATCTCCTCTTGGCAACTGGCCAAAAGTTTTTAACGGTTTAGAAATTCGAAAAATTTAGAAATTCGCGAATTTGAAAAGGCTCATTTTTTATTGCCTTTGAGTGTTGTTCGCCGTGAGTTTATTTTGCTATAGTCGCGAAGATATGCCAGGAATACAGCGTAAATGTTTGTGCTTTTGACGCTCGAATTCGCGACATGTGGTTATTCACAGTGCGTCACATGAAATTACGAAAGATTTTAATCTAACAACACTCCCCATTACTGTTGGGCTGGCTTCGCTAGCCACAAGGGTAAGACGTCTCCAAGCTGTTCGGTGCGACGCCATCGCTGATAATAATCGAGCCATTCCGTTTTCCATCGTCTTAGTCCATATTGCGCTCGTTCGCCTCCCCATACGTTCTTTCATGACTATATCAGTCCAGATTTTAATTGGCCCTCCTCGATTTTAGCGCCAACCATCACAGGGTTTAGCGAGTAAAAAAATGTCAGTTGTGGTGGGCGGCGAAGAACATACGCTAACAACGAAGACGATGTGATGATAGTGCTGTTAATGCAAATGGTATTTGAGCGAAGATGGATGCAGTCATGTGAGAATTTATCTGCTTATCCTGACATAGTGGTCAAGGGCAGATAGCTTTTTAATATACTTCGTTCTAATTGGCTTTTTTTTTGCAGCCATATAGCACGATATCGAGCGAATCGCAGCTTTCGTTTTTATGCTGATTTTCCCAAAAATCTGAAAGGCTGATTCCTCGACACTGTTACAGTATATCCTGGCACCTTTCTTAGAAATTGGAATTGCTTCAGTCATCTGGTATCAACTTTTCATTCTTCGAAACCACGAGCACATTTGTTGAAGGTGTGATATGAACAAAGATGGACAAAATTTGAAGAGTTCAGCCATGCTCAAAGACCATCTTCTTTTTATTGGCCCTAAATTTCTGGGTAACGGAGATTATTTCCTCTTCTTTTGGCTGTTCGTAGTTACAAACATATGGCTCAGCGAGCGTTTTAGTTACATTCGGGGCAACAGGTGGTAAATTTGGCCTAAAATATTTCCTTATCAAGCGATTCTTAATACACTTAACGAGTACTTCATTGCTATCTCGTACCATTTCTCTGATCGTTCCCCGAGTTATAGTTGTTTTATGAAAAAGGTGGAATAGTTTCCTATTATAACCTAATCGAGTCGCCATCTCCATTCTCAAGGCCTTATCGCTCCGATAGCGATTTCTTTCTTGCCGCGCCGTTGTCATTGTAATTCTTCGAAACATCCCGATAGTCAGAATGTCCTGACATTCATGCTTTGGCAATCTTTTTAAACAGTTGGATAGTTACTTCTGATACCCAACTAGAGCAGTTCCTAATAGTATATCCTAATATGGAAGTGACTAATTTTAAAGATAAGCCTTTAGCTGGAATAAGTATTATCCTGGCTCGCGAGTATATCATATTCTCAAACCTTATGATCGTTTGACTACTTTCATTTCTTTCACTAAAAGAAATGAAATAATTCCATAAAAATGGAGAATACTCGGTGCGCGGGAAGGGGTGAGTGGGAGAGGTGGGGGGGGGCATACATACCTCATATATCACCGGTCTGAGAGTATCGTGTCATTGGAGGATGTGGAGACCGTCAAGAATAATTTTTTGTTCCAAAATTTTTGAAAATTTAGAAGAACATAGCTGAATAATCAAATTAAACGGATTTAATTCAGAAGTTACGAAATATTTCAGAAATAAATCAGAAAAAATTTGTCGTTTTAATGAAAATTTTTCGAAATTTTTTTGGTTACTTATTATTTTAAATTTTTTAATTCATTTTTAAATTAAACAAATCTCTTTTATCGATTAACAAATTTTAAAAATCAAGTTTTAGTTGATTAATTATAAGAATTTAATTGTTGAAAGAAGATTATAAAGATTACGCGATATGAAAGAGAGGAAACAGAAAGTAACACAACAGGAAGGATCCATAAGTTAAAAAATGAAAAGGAGACGAGAAAACCACTTATGGCCAATGAAATACAAAAGTGAAAAAATAGTGACTGGTCCTTAACCTATTTTCATTCGTTTTCGACGTGTTATATTAAGAATAAAGAGAATTAAAAAGAGAAAAGGCAATATTCCATTCCAGAAAATAATGAACTTTTCGAATTCGATTTTTATTTTTATTCAATTAGAGGAAGGATGGCCGAGTGAATATTGCTTCAAATTATCGTGCCGCAATGATTGAAGTATATCATTGGCAGTCGACTCATTTGTTTTTCAATCTCAAATCACTTATTAGCAAAAATTTCTGGGTGCAAACAATCAGTGGAATTAGTCTCAGAAACAGTTAATCACTTATATTTTACACTTTAATTCAATAAATTTAAAAATTCAATAATATGCAAAAAAAACCATAAAAACAATCTTATATTAACCAATAAGATCGGATGGATAATCGATTGGTAAATTAGTGGAATGAAATTATATGGATCGGTTCGTGTCCTCTACCAAGCAAGAGTGAGTGAATTTGTTATCAAAAGTGAAATTTTGATATTGCACGCGACAAGCCGTGCTTTTATTTCTCAGTCCTAAATGGCTCTCTAGCAAAATGATCTCAATAAACAGAAGCAAGAAAGGGTGAATATTGTTAAAAAGTAATTTACGCTCACCATTTCTAATTAGGCTCATTTTGGTGATTGATATATAGATATTAAGTTTAGAATTTTTGGCTATGGATTTATGTTTGGCCAAGTACAAGATGATGATAATGTTGTTAAAAAAAGAAAATAGTATAAGTCATAAAATCCTTAAACCCTGTGATGGTTAGCGTCAAAAGCGAGGAGGCCCAGTCAAGATCTGGACTGCTGCAGTCAGGAAAGATTTTGAACGATATATGAACTTAGACGATGGAAAAAGGAATGGCTTCTATGGCTTCTAGTTAGCGATGGTATCTGTAGCTTGGAGATGTCTCGTGGTCAGCGCAGCCAATCTAACCAGTAATGTCGAGAGCTTTTAGGAAGGAGATATTTTATGGATTTCCTCATTGATCTTTTTTTTGTTAAAATAACGTCTATTAACCTTTGGAACATTTTGAGAAAATAGAGCTTAAGAAAATTGAATTTTGAATTGCATTTACAGTGGTAAAAGTGGCGAATAAGCCAATTTTGCTTTAAAAAAATATACCAATTCTGGTTGAGCTGACTGACCTTACCATCTAATTTGAATGAAATCTTCTAGAATCATTCAGAGAGTAGAAGTATTAATGGATTCTCAGCATCACCCATACTGAATTTTAATTTATAGCTTTACCTCGTCAACAGACGACGAAAATAATCGTTCAGATGGAGCAATAACCACTTCCACAGATAACTCATTCAGTTTCAACGATACCATAAATGAAGATTACTGATGAGATTTTTTGCAGAAAAAGCTATTTTGAGAATTTTGCAGAATGCAAAAAAATATTTGTATAAAAATTTTTTGGTACAAATAAAAATGACTATAAGTTTTGTTGTTTTTTTCACATTTCTATCAAAAATATAATTTTTCAGCAATAGAAAAAGCAAGAAAAAAATAATTATTTCAAATAATTATTTTTATTTAAAATTTAAAATAGAATTATTTAATTATTTATAAAATTATTTAGAATTATTTAAAATAACTTTTTAATTTTTTACAAATTTATTATTTATTATTATATATTATTTATTATATATTATATTATATTATTTTTATTATATTATTTTTATTATATATTATATTATTTTTATTATATATATAATATTATATAATAATATTATATTATATATTATTATTTCATTATTATATATTATTTTTATTATATATTATTTTTATTTGGATTCCAAAAATTAAATTTTTTCAAAAAAAATTTACTGAAATTGGAAAAAAAGAAATCTTATTTTATTAATGGATTTTCGAAGAGAATTTTGTCAACGAAAAAAAATTTGTTATCAATTTGATAATCCAATAAACTTTATTTTTTATTTTAATATTGCAAACTACATTAAAAGTAAAATAGATTATCGATGAGGAAGTAATATTTTATGAAAATTTTCAACGACTAATGAAGATTAAATGGAATGTACAAATGGGGAATTCTGGCTAAACTATCCAGTGTTAATCAAAATCGAGAATTTTGCTAATGTTGATGCAAATCTGATAATAACGTTGATGCGATCGATGGGTCGATAAAGCTATATACCAAATTTCTGAATTCTTTCTGAGTGAATGAAATATTTCTGAAAAATTTCCACTATTTCTAATCAAATCTCTTTCCCAACAATGTTCGCCGTTATCATCATTGTCTTTGTCGTCCATTCAATTATTCCATACATCGACATTTTTTCATTACTCTTCATCTTCGTTCATTATCCGTTGTAAATGAATTTTATTACTCTAGTGAAATTTGACAAAAAATATAAATTTTTAT